TGATGCCCCTCTTTGTAGTCATTTGGTATTTATAAATAGAAATAAGGGGTAATGCCTAAACGCCTCAGAAATAAAAGTTTGTATGTGTGATTTTTTTAATCCTCCTCAGAAATCCTGTGTTTGTTATATCAGGAAGTAAAATACATTTTTATTTATTTTTTTCATTCATATGTTCTTTGAAATAGAGCCATCACTGAACAGAAGGTGCGTGTGAAGAAGCTGGGAACAGATTTGACCAGCGCTCAGAAGGAGATGAAGGCCAAACACAAGGCCTACGAGAACGCCGTGGGCATCCTGAGCAGGAGGCTCCAAGAGGCGCTGACTGACAAGGAGACGGCTGAGGCGGAGCTGGCTAAATTGAAGGCCCAGGTATCAGATGAAGGGAACAGCCAGGCCTTGCAGGTAATGAGCACTTCTTTTAAAGCTTCAAGCTGCAACATCTATTTAAAGAGTTTCAAGCATTAGAAGAAGTATCACTGTTAGAAAGCTATACCTGCTCTTATTTATTTATAGTTTGTATCACAATAAATAAAATGGGTGCATTAACTCCTACAGACATGTGTTACTGTCTGTAAACCTCTTTTATGATGGACAGTGCTTACGTAGGTGGTATGGATCAGACATGTTTCCTGTAAAATGCCCCTCTGCAGCATAATGGATCCACTGGATACCCTCACTATGGAACCCAGGCCTATATTGTTTATGTTAAAGTGTGAATCATCTGTCTTTCTCTCTAGACCAGTCCCTTTGTGCACTACTCAACTCTCAAATGTGCATTAACCTTGGTAACGCCCGGTTTATGCATTGCAACCATGTTGTAACAGCCCTCTCTACAGCTTCATTACTTTTGCTAAAGTTAGTGTTAAAAATATCATCTGATTCTGAATACGTGAGGTTTTTATTTTATTTTATTTTGACAGATTTTTTTATATGGATTGACCCGTATTCTTGTCATTTGTTACCATTTCTTGTCAGAAGGTTGTATGCCCCTGCATCGTGAATATAACTGTAGCTGTTGGCTAACTCAAACATTTATTTATTTGTCATACAGAAGAAGATTGAGACTCTACAGGCTGAACTGCAGGCTGTTACCAACAGCAAAGCTATGCTAGAGAAGGAACTTCAAGAAGTGATCACCCTAACATCCACAGAGCTAGAAGAATACCAGGAGAAGGTTCTGGAGCTTGAAGATGAGGTAAACTTTGTTAATCTTTCATCTTATAGCTCATATACTTTTTTTTCTCAGTTCAAACCTCTTTTTAGCCCCTTTCAGATGTGCTTTTCTCTGTTAACCTCATGGCATCTTCCAGCTATCAACGTGTCTCCCCAGAATGTTGAGATGGGCATTTCACTAAAAGATCGTACGCTTTGGAGAACCAACCAAAAGGCAACAATACAAAACAGAAATCAAGTCTTCGAGTGACAAACTTCTCCTGCTGTCCAATCTACTTGTGACAAACATGATTAATATACAAAAGAATAAATAAAATATACGTATGTTAAGATTTCAAGAACGGAAATCTTAAAGTATAAAATGCATTAAGACATTGTCACTTCATGTTCTGTCATTTTTTTGCTAACACTGGCTTTTGTTGATGTGGGAATCATATAATGAAGACTTAAGGAAGATTATTGTAAAAGGTTAGGTGTTAGGTTAGGTGTCCCAGAGCTTAGTTGGTTCATGAGAAAAGAAATAATTTCATGAACTTTTTCATCCAATTTTTCCTTAATAATACAACTGTGTATGAGCAGTTTATTTGCACTTCTGAAATTATTCAGTTCATATGTTTGTTGTTTTGTTTTTTGTTTAGTTTTTTGTATCAATGACATGTATTGCTTCCACAGCTTCAAGAATCGCGCTGCTTCAAGAAGCGGATCCGAAAGTTAGAAGATGCCAACAAGAAATTGGCACTTGAGCTGGAACACGAAAAAGGAAAACTGGCCGGATTAGCTCAGTCCCACAATGCACTGCGGGAGCA